GTCCGCTACTACGTTATATTATAAGCCGCGTAGGCTAATCGTGTAACCTCCCGCCTAAAGGAAATCTATACCGGCGATAGGGCCGAGCCTAAGGCCCGCGCCGCGGGGATTACTATAGATAAGGCCGCTCTAGTCCTAAATACGCCGCTAGACTAATAGGGTATTCCGATAGCTAGACCTTAACCCGTTAGCGATAACGACGAAATTATTATACTAGACTAACTATAAGGCTAGAGTGTATAGGCACTAGGACCGAAGGAGCTTTACCAGGGAACACGGTAAGATACAATAGAGGGTTTAGTATATTCTTTTTTTTTTCTTTTATCCGTGTGTTAGCTTTTGCCTTAGCTTTAGTCGGGACACGCCCGCGTATATACTAATCGTTTAGAGAAATTAAACGCCGAATACTATTATTAGGTAATAGAGGCCGCGGTGTTAGTATATTTATTGTCTTTTTTTCTCTCTTTTTCGCTCGGCTAGGTAATAGATAGTAACGGCGACGGTCGCTATTAAGGCACTGCCGCGTAATAATATTTTCTTTCTATTCTCCCTAACTACACCGCGGTTTATTAGTATAACTGTAACGCGCTTCAAGTAAGGCTATCGTAGTAACCGGGGAAAGCCCGCGGGATATAGGGCTTTATTGCCCGGGGTATTTAATACGCCCTAGATTTCACCGGGAATACTAGGTCGTACTACGGAGTACCCTAACGGTACTATAGCTTATACTATAGCACCTATAGGGTATACTATAGGCACCTTTAGGGTATACTATAGCTTCCCTAGGGTATAATGAGTGAATACCGGGGAATCCCCCGGGCTCCTATACGTAGAAGCCGAGGATTCTACGGGGTTTCCCCGTGGATACTTAAGTCCCGGGGGCGCGCGCCCCCTTAGCTTAGAGAAGATATCTTTATTACACCGTATTTTCTGTACCTAAAGGTTACCCCTCGAGAAAAAGCCTGGCTTATAGGTCTTATAGTACTAGCTGGCCAGGGATTTGCCAGTCAGGCATATTAGTCTTCCCCTAAGCACGTTAATCTATAATTCGGGCGCTAACCTTTATTATATCCTTAGTCTATATACTCTGCTTATATTAATACGTGGTTACCTTAGGGTCGATATTAGTTTAAGATCTAGACGTTAAGGGCTAGTTAATACTATAACCTAGATTAGGAGTAGTTAGTTTCTATGCCTTAGTCTACGTACTCCTCGCTCCTCTTTAGTGCTCCGGATTATCTATATTAAGATCTAGTATATATAGCCTTAGCGTATTAATAGTAGTGTCTCCTTCGAGTGCCGTAGTATATATAGACGATAGCTTAATTAAGAGTTCCTCCTATTACTACGGCCCGGCGCCTTAGTCCTGGTTATTCTAGCTTAGCGGATTAGGTATAGCGCATAGAGTTTAGAGTCCTATTAGCGCGGGCGGTTCGGGTAGCCTATCGTGGCCGTTAGTAGTTACGTCGGTATCTAATAGTTCCGGCGTCTCTAGAATAGTACTAGCTACTCCTACCCCCGAGTCTAAACCCGTAAACTCTATTTAATCTTTAGAAAGTGCGCTACTAGATAGGCCGGCGGGCGGTTCGGCTTATAGGATAAATTCGGTATCGTTATCTTCGTAGTCTTCGTAGGTTATAAGCTAGTTCCTCGCCTCCGCCTCTATAATCTACTCTGCTTTTTCGAGCTTCGAGTTATAGAATACCCGCTTATTAAACTACACATTACGCGTCGTTATAACCTTCTAAAGCTATAGGATCTATATTCTATAGATATTATAGGTAACGTATCCTATAAGATACCTAATATAGCCCCTCGGTTAAATCTTATATATCTTTCTCTCCCTCCTAGCCTCCCTATTCCTATCTAAGGGATAGGCGCGGTAACTATAGGTATAAATACCACTCTAATCTAGCCGTAGGTCGGCGGAATACTCTCTTATCTTAAACGGCGTATACTTTTTAAACTATAAGTCTAGTACCTCTATTAGAGACTTTTAACCTAGGCGCTACGATAGACTTATATTATAAAGTTACGCCGCTACTCTTATACTCTCCGGCTACATAAAACCTAGAAGACCTGCGCCGTTTAGTATAGCGTTAGACTTTATAACGATAGCTTATCCTGCCTTCTTAATAGTACTATTCGGTTTATAGGTATATAGAGGCGCGATCTTTATATCGATACCCTTTATGCTCGCCTATAGCTAGGTCCGCGAATCCCCTACTATATACACGATTAAAGGCTTATTATCACTATATATCTTATAGACGTATAGGTTAAACTAACGCGTAACCTATCTTTCGAACGCTTTAAGGGCGTTATAGACCGTAACGCTATTTTTCGACGCTAAAGGCAGTATATAAATCTAACCGCTATACTCCTCCTTAATAATAAGGAGATAACGTATACCGTTATAACTCTCCGGTAATTCCTATAGGTCCTAATAAATACGCTAGAATAGCCTAAGTAAGTGGTAATCTAATAGTCGATAAGACACGACCTAATAAACCTATATTCGAGTATAGGTCTTACACTTAATCCGCTTAGTGCCTTATATTAGCACGTTCCGGGCGTTACGAATTAGTGCTCGGAGAGCTTCTAGTCCTAGGTAGCCGGCCCTTAGGTGCTATAGCCTCTTTTCGTTAACACGAGGATAAGGGGAATCTTAAGATAGTCGAAATAGCTTTAGAAGCGGCGCTCTTATCGGTTAATCGATAGCTACTATTAGTATATGGATATAATCGTAGCTTACGGGAATCACGCCTTATAGTATTAGTTAAATATACGGGTAAGATGAAGAAAAGGATAAAATTAGTTTATATTAAAGAATAGTTATATTAAAGCGTCGTAATAGCTTTAATAAAACTATACTCTTATCCGCTATTCTGTATCGTAGTAAGCAGTTATATCCCGAATACTAGATCCTAACCTTATATAATAAAGCTTCCGAGATAATATTCGTGTAAAATCCCTCCACCACGATAACGTCGTTAAGCTCTAAGTTAAGTTTCGGAGCACCTAATAGTCCATTAAGAAGGCCCTTAAAGATCCGTTTACCTTTACTAATAATAGAGAATTATATAGTACCGGATTTAATAATACTATTTATTAGGATAAAAGATCCGGGAATAAGCAGGTCGATTAAATTAACTAAATATATCGCGCCGTAGTTATCTAAAAGGGTGCTATATAAGAGCGGGTAAGCGCTAGATCGTAACGCCGCGTAAATACCGGGAACTTCCCCTATATCGTAAACAAGGGTTAGATCTAAGATAGTTATAATAACCTTTAAGGGGTATCCGTTACCCTTATCGCTACTCTTACTGGCGCTTCCCTATCCCTTCTTTAATAGGGTTTCTAATAGACTTTTCCACTTTTATTACTATAGCTCTTTCCGGATTTATTCGATACAATTATCGCTTATCTACACAGATAGCTACTACTCGTATTTACCTATAAGAGTATACTCTACTCTATTATAGAGCTCCGGCTTCCACGAATAGGTCCTATTATAGGGGTATTTATACCCCTTGCCCTTGCCTTTCTTTCCTTTTCCACTACTATCGTCGTCTTTATCGGAGCGGTCGCCTAGGGTAGCGTAAACGCCGTGCTTAGTTCTATTAAGGCTAGGAGCGCTTATAATCGCGTTAAATTCGCGGCCGTATATCAGGATATCATTAATTGCTTCGTCCTTATTCTCCTTATGGATTAATTTGTAGAACTTAGCCTCTGTCTAAGCCGGGGTAAAACGCTGCCTAACTACGATGAGGAAGTTACGGGTAGCTATAGAACCCTGAACGTTATTAACTTTATACTAATAATAGCGCCGGATAAGAGTATTCCACTCCGTATACCACGCTACTACCTTTATATTAGCTCTTCGGGTATTCTAAAGGTGCTTATCGTATACTCGATAAACCTCCTTAGCTAAAAATAATACGGTAGGAGCGAAGTATTTCTTTAATTCCTTTATCACTTATCGTATCGTGAAGTAACGGTTTTATTTCCCCTCTTCGTAGCTAGGGTACTTCTTAATAGCTTCCTCGACGGCTTATTAATAGGTAAAGGTTTCGATAGTCGCTTTAAGTATATAATTAGCTTTATTAAGCGCCTTAATCGATCGGGCGAGCTTTTAATTATATACCGTAACCTTATAGCCTTTTAGCTTAGCGAGCTCGATTAGTTCTAATATAGTAAAAGGGGTTAGTACCCCGTTAATAACCTAGGTGTGTTTTTCGCATAGCTAATCGATAGATATAGGTATAACGTACTCGGGTCGGTTATTTAGCTACTCCGGCCCGTTAGGGTTAAGTAAGGCCTAGACCTCTATACCCTATGTATATAACTTAATATAGAAGATCTAATCGGCCTATTACCTAGTAGACTCTAGCCGCGGTATACCGAGCGTTTCGGCGGTGACTTTAAGCTTCGGGGATATAGTTTATAGTAGGGGTTTAGCGAATAAGGGCTTTTCTAAGCGAGAGAGTAGGGTAGATACTCCTTAATTAGCTACGGAAGCACACGTAAAATAAATAAACGTAGATAATAGATTAGCAGGAAGTTACTGGTTACTGCTATTACCCGGGCTTATAAGTATTAGATTAATAGGCGTATAATCTGGCCAGAGTATAGATATAGAAGATATATAATTATATTCGTTATATAAAGGAAAGAAGAATAGGAAGGTGTGGGTGTTCTAAATACATCTACCCCTTTTCCACGCGAGGAATATAGGGCTAGCCCAGCTAATAGAAACACAGAAAACAGGCTCACGTGTTTTCAGTGCGATAATGGATAAGGTAGGTACCTTACTAATTAGATACCTTACCGTAGGTACCTTATATGATACAGGGTACGTACCCCGTCTATCCGACGCCACGACGCCACATCCCTGCCGTCTCACCAGCCACAGCTCCCTGCATCCGTCCTTGGCACGTCTCATCAAGGTGACACTCGCGATCCATCGGACACGGAGCACGGATACACAATCTTTCACCACCACCGCCACCACCTCCACCACCACCACCACAAACCGAACGAACACCGACCATGGACGGAAAGACAACTCGTCATGGCTTTCAACGACCACGCCCACAGGCCTAGTGTCGACAAGGACAAGACCTTCTCTCTTTTCAGTGCGAGTCCCGCAGGTCCTGCTGCGACGCGGAGTGAATTCGAGGAGGTCGGCAAGATCCCACACATCCTGCCCCACGAGCGCGTCTTTCCCATTCAGATCGGCTCGGAGCTCTTTAAGCTTTCCGGTGCCTCCATTTCCAGCGATGGTGCGGTGTTTCCTCGCTTTCCCCTTCTTTCCCCCTCCCCTGTCTTCCCTTTATCTTGTTCCTCGACGCAACTAACAATTCGAGTCGCAGCGCCGTCGTACTTCTCCCAGTTCTTCCGCTCCCAGATAGACAAGGCGCTCGAAGCCGGCGAAGACCCTTGCAGCCATATCCGCACCCTCTACATCGACCGTGACCCGGCCACCTTCCACGACATCTCCCTCCACCTCCAGGGCTACCATGTGAAGCCGCGCGACGGCACGCACTTTGTGCGTCTCTTTGCCGACGCCCAGTTTTACAGCTGTCCGTACCGTCCCTTTTGCCCGTTCTTTCGTTCCCCTGTTGTTTGAAACTGACCGACTCTCCCCTCGACAGTACCGCGGCTCATCTCCCGGCTCTTCGAAGAAGACATCTTCATCTCCATCGGTCACCGCGAGTTTCAGATCCCCCGCGACCTCTTCAACGGGCCGGGGAACACGCCCAACTTCTTCTCCCTCGGCTTCGCCCTCTTCTTCTCCCGCCCGGACGACCTCTTCCCCGGCCTCGACCGCCAAGGGCTCCTCCGCCCGCCCTCCATCGCCCCGCCGGCCGTCGACAACCGCTCGGCCGAGGTGTTCGCCGAGCTCCTCGACCTGCTGCGCGGCTACCCCGTGGCCATCCGCGACGAGACCCACCGCGCCGCCCTCCTCCGCGACTGCCGCTACTTCAACTTCAAGGGCCTCGAGCAGCGGCTCATCCCCCACCACATCAGCTTCAACCAGTCGCGCGGCGGCCGCCCCGAGATTGTGCTGCGCATCGAGGACATTTTCAAGAGCGGCATCAGCGTCGCCGTCCACGACGACGACGACGCCGCCGCCCTCCACCCGGGCCTCTCGCCGCTCGGCGACGTTGCCGGCCCTTTGGTGAGCTGGGTGCAGTACGCGCGTCCGTACGTCGACGCGCGGCCGGCGGAACTGATTCTCGAGATTGGCGGCGAGGCCACGCGCCTGCACCACCCTCCCGGCAGCACCACTACCACCACTACTACTACTACTACTACTAATCATAATAAAAGCGGCAGAAGAAGCCAAAGCCCGCGCGTCGAGTTCTTCCGCGATGTGCGCACCCGCGTCGCCCGCCTCTTCGAGGTCCTTGCCACCAAGCTCAACCTGCCGCCCACCACGCAGCCGCTGGGCCTCCTCATGGCGTCGGGCGGTGCGGGCAGCCAGCCGCCCACGCCGGGCCACACCCCGCTCAGCGAGGACCGGGTCCGCGCCGTGGTTGGGCCCGATGCCCACGTCGTGCTGGACGGCAAGCCTTTCACGCCGCCGTCGCCGTCTATGTTTGTGCCGTCGGGTAGGGACGACCTGGCCGCCGGCTACGGCATGCGCGAAGACAGTCAAGACTCGATGACGTCGAGGAAACGCCGGCGTCTCGACACGTATGGGCAAGGGCAAGGGGAAGGGGAAGGGGAAGGGGAAGGGGAAGGGGCGTCGTCGGAGCCTGATGCGGCGGCTTGGATCGTCAAGACGGGGCAGTGGAGGTTGATGGTCCGCGGGCCCACGGGCGGTGACAAGATGTCGGCCGAGTGCGTCCTGGTGGCGGTTAGGCTGGATGCCTATTCGTCGGAGAGTACGAGGAATGCTTCTCGGGGGTTTTTGGGGGCGCCTTGACTTGTTTGGCCTTTGGTATGCATGGTGTCGTTGGTCATTTTCGTTTTGATTTTATTTCATTTCTGTTTTCCATTCGGAGCAGGTTGATACGGGACTTGGATATTGTACGTGTAGAATAGCGAAATGAATTACTCGTGACGAATAAAGCGGTTTTTATTTTTATTTATTTCTTTCTCTCCTTCTTCTAGGTTATCTATGGAGATGCGACTGATGGGAGAACTGTTGGTATTCAGCAGAGTGTAACGCAGCCTTTCGAGAAAATAGATCATTTGGTGGGAATCTACAGATGATGTGGCTGTAGTAAGTCTTCTGGAATATCCACTCTCATTGAGCGGCATAGGAAAAACGAAACGAAATACTTTACGAAGTACCTATCGTGAGAATACCCCTGATACGTGGTGCGTCTCGTACACGTTTGAGGGTCCGCGGGGTGAAGCACATCCGACCCTCAGACCCTGTTCTTCTGTAGGTACCTGAAGGTACCTGTACCTAAGAGCAGGGATTCGGATTCCCCAGGGGACATCTGGACTTTAATTGGTCACTATTTCGCTATGACCTCGGCCATTGGCCCTGGCTTTTCCTTTTTTTCTTTTCTTTTTTCTTTTCCTTCGATTCTTCGGCATTGGCTCCGTTCTTTTACCTTGCAAGTACAGAGTAAGGAAACATCAAATCCACTTCACAACTCCACAGTCTGGTCTCGTCTCAACAAGGAAGACGAAGACGATGGCATCATGTACAGCGTAATGTTATAAAATACTTACCATTCAACAGACCACCATTGTGTCTCATTTCAGTACTATCGACGACCCATATGCGCTATAGGGCAGAGCGTCCCTCAGCACCGTAACGGTAACATTGGGCCGTCGGTCGTCTCATGTCCAAGTGTCCAAGCGCAGCCCCTTGAGCGCGTCTGCCCCTTCTCACCCCTTCCACCGAAGCCAAGCTGAATCCAGCGATTATTCAAACGTGTTTCAAGCCATCACTGCTACGTTTCCCGTTTCCCGTTTCCCGCCTAGTTCCACTTTGTAATGACAACGTACAGTGCACTCTCTCCGTCTCGAGCTGCTCGCGGCCAGCGCACTCATTATGGTATGCCCCGACCTTTTACTTGACCCGGCCTGCCCCTGCCTCACATTGACCCATACCCACGGCCCACGGCCCAAGGCCCATGGACGCTTCATCGTGAACCCCTGCCCAGAACGGGGAGGCGTAGCAACATGCTGGGTAGGCCAAGAATAGTAGAGCCTCATACTACTACTCCTCCGTACCGACTCTGCGACAGCCATGACACGGCTGCACCTTGTTTAAAATCATGCTGTTTCCTCCCCATGTTCTTTTGCTTCTCTCTCTTCTTTTCATCTCTTTCACAAGTTTGCCAGTTGGACCACGAGTTTTCTCTCATTTTTCGTTTCTTTTCTTCTTCTTTTCATTTCTTTCTCTTCTTTGATTCTCTCCTCACCCGTTCATTCCATCTTTCGACGACAATAGGCTAGTCCTACACTCTTTTCCAGCGCCAGTCGCCTTTTATATATCATTTTATCACTTTTGATTCAGGTTCTCTGGCAGACCTTCACTTTCCTGGTTCTATTTTCCTGACTTGGACACCGCGTCTTTTCAAATCGTCCTTCGTTCGAATAAGATAGACACACATTCGCATCACCGTCAAGATGCTCTACTCATCAGCTATCATGGCCGTTGCCGCCCTTGCCGGCTTCGCTCAGGCTCAGAGTACGTGCCAAACTCCCCTTTTCTTCTTCTTCCTCCTCTTCTCCTCTCATGCTCATGCTCACACTCCTCAGTCGTCGATGTCATCCCCGTCAAAGTCGGCTCCAACAACGGCACCTTCCGCTTCTACCCCGAAAAGATCACCGCCCCCGAGGGCAGCGTCGTCCAGTTCCAGTTCATCGCCGGCAACCACACCGTCACCCAGTCCAACTTCGACAACCCCTGCACCCCGCTGGGCCTGGTCAACCCCGAGGCCGTCGGCATCCGCTCCGGCTTCCAGCCCGTCCAGGCCTCCGCCAACATGGGCCAGCTGCCCGTCTTCAACGTCTGGATCAACGACACCAGGCCTATTTGGCTGTACTGCGCCCAGGGTGCCCACTGCCAGAATGGCATGTCCATGGTGATTAATGAGAAGTGAGTTTTTCTTCTTTTCCTTTTCTTCTTTTTCTTCTTCTTTCTTCTTGCTTTTTTCTTTCATCATTCCTTTCCTCGCCAAAGTCGACTCAACTTGCTAACAAGACCGCCCCTACAGCACCCAAGCCAACGAGACTCGCTCGCTCGAGAACTACAAGGCCCTGGCTGCCTCCCTCGCCGGTGGCGCCGGTGGTAACGCCGGCCAACCCGGCGCTGGCAACGGCGCTGGAAACGGCGGCAGCACTGGTGGTGACGCTGGTGCTGGCGGTGACGCTGATGCTGGTGCTGACGGCACCGACAACAACAACCCCGGCCAAGGCGGCGCCGAGCAGGGCGACGTCCCCGACGTCCCCGCTGCTGCTTATTCCCTCGCCGTCCCCACCACACTGCTGCTCGCTCTCGGAACCGCTTTCCTGCTTGTCTAAGACCTTTCTCTATTCTGCCCCGGGGAAGAAGTGTTAGAAAAAGAAGAGAGAGAGAGAGAGAGAGAAAGAGTTCGAGTTTGTCAGTTGGCCTTATTTTTGTTCAATCACGGGATTAATACCATTCTTCCCCCACATAGGGGAAACGGCGTTCGTGTCACGGGCTGTTTTTTTTTTGCCTCCATGCACAGGAGGACGGACTTGTCGGCTTGGGTGGCCGAGGCCGAGGCCGACGGGATAACCATGGGCTGCGCTCTTGGCATGAGCTTTCTATTCGCATGTTGCCAAAAGACGCATACGTTGTATACCAAGTCAGAAATATACCAGGAATTTGAAGATCCCCTACGTACCATGTTAAAGTGACCACATCATATTTTCCATACTACTACCTGACATCATTCCAGTTCGAAAAGAACGACCCCCTTCTAATTATAACTCCCCCCTCTGCTTCGCCCCCTCCCGCTCCCTCTTCTCCCGTTCCTTCTGTTCCCGCTTCTCCCTCCTCCTCTCCTCCTTGCGACGCTTCTCCTCCTCCTCCTCGCCAGGAAGCTTCCGCCTCTTCCGGGAACGGAGCACCCTGTCACACAACGGCGGCGGCGTAGACCTCTCCAGCCAATCGTCGGGGAGCACGACGCGGCCGACGTACATGTAAGCCTCGTGATCGGCAAAGAAGTCGACCCAGTGCTTCAGCGCGCCGTGGACGCGCTGGAGCGCCGCCTCGCGTTCCCGCTCGCGCATGGCCGCCAGCTCGTCGGGCGTCCAGTGGGCGTCAGTCGCCGGGTCGTCGAGCGGGAGGAACATCTCCTCGGCGCCGCGCAGGTCCGGCGTGCGGTCGGTGCCGAAGCAACCCGTCACGTAGGCCCGGGAGGCGTCGATGCCGGCGAATTTGGAGTAGGAGCCCCCCGGCCCGTAGACGCGCGGGTTGGAGGAGACGTCGTAGATGGTGTGGTTGATGGCGAGGTAGATGGGTTTCGTCGGGTCGGAGCCGTCGTAGAGGGCGAGCTCGGCCGGGGTGAGCTCGAGTGGGCCGGTCTATGGGTGGGAAGACCATGTCAGTTTCAGGTACAGGAAGAAGCAGACGCCGGAGAAGACGCCGGAGAAGACGCGGGAGGAAGACACAACAGATTAGGATGGGGGAACGTACCACAAGAGTCTTCCAGTACCCTAACCGAAGGTAACGAGGCTTGTTGTCGAAGCCCCAGGTCCAACTCTCGCCTCCGCTGACGAGGTAGCTGAGGCCACAGCTGGCGAGAAGGAGAAACGAGAGCACCCGGAGGATGTCAAGCCAGGGGCTATAGGGCTCGTCGTCTTCCTCAGCATCACTGGACTTGGACCTCTTCTTGCCCTTGGATTTTGGCTTTTGCCTTGGATCCGCATCTTGCGTCTCGGATGCGGGGACGTTGCCGGTCAGTTGGGATCGGACTTTCTCGGCGGGGGTACCCGCGAAGAGGTTATCTTCGTCTCCGCTTAGCTCGTCGTCTTTTTTTGACTCGGCGTCGGCCATGGTGGGCTACTAAGGAGATTCTCGCGGTGCAGCAGAGTGCAATGTGCCGTGTTTTGTTGTCGTTGGTCCAAAGTTGTCCTTTGTCCTTTGTCCTTTTGACAGTGTCGCTTACGTGGATCGACCCGAAATGCTCGAGTACGAAGTCATCGTATTCCGTGGGCGTGAAACGGTTGACGGATGCACGCCGTCCGAGTTGGCGAACTTCCACGTTCGATCGCTTCGGGGCCTGTTCGGGATTCATGCAAGGCGGAGCCAAGGGAGCTTTGACCACTATACGACAATCGCTTATCTAATCAAGTCGAGTGTACCTTAGTTGCCGTGACAACCAGCTCTCCACCGACCTGTAGGTAGTACATAGTACATCCAGGGCTCGAATAAACAGTGAATCAAGTCAACACAACGGCAATTCACCGTCTGTTGCCGCCCGCGATTCATCTCCACTGTCGACCACCTCAACCGTCCATTATGGTACCCTGCTAGGACCAAGGTCTACTATCAGACTAACAGTCGAGAAGTCACTTTTTAATTTGTTCGTCAAGCACTTAGGGCAGCTGCATCACCCCAAGACGAAGACGAAGAACATATCGTCTCAGCCGCAGCCATTACCAGCAAACAAACAACATCACCACCCACACAATATCCACCGAGACCACAACAATGGCATCCCAGCCCAGCCTACCAGGCTCACCAAAGTCTGGGGGCCCTCTCAATCCAATATCACCAGGCCGGGCCAACCACCAACGCGAACCGACCTTCATGAGCTCCCTGCGAAGCGAGTTGCGCGACAGCTCCGTCCACGATAAGATCAGCCAATTCAACACCCTCGCCACTCAGTCCAAGACTCTCGAGCGGAAGACCGCCGATGCCGCCCTCAAGCGCGCCATGCTGGGCCGGGAAGAAGCCGAGTCCGAGATGCGTCGCTACCGAGAGGAGAACAAGGTCCTTCGCACACAGCTCGACAAGGCGAAGGACCGCGAACACAGAGTCAGCGAACGACTCGAAGCTGTCATGGTATGCACCCCCAATTCCCATGTGGTATTTTGGTCTTTACAAGGTCGAAGCCAGGGTGGAAGGGAAACGAAGGCAGGAAAAAACATACCCTTTGCTAACCATTTGCCATCTTCGGCCCCCCCAACCGTGTAGGAGCAATACGGCCGTGCCAAAGAAACCTACGCACATACCAAAGCCGCCTTCGAAAAAGAAATCAAAGCCGCCCGGAAGAAGATTTTCAAAAACGACGCCACCATCATAAAGCTCCAGGAAGAGGTCAAGGCCGCCCGCGACGGATGGCGAACGGCCTCCGACCACCTCGACGAAGAGAAGGCCCGGAGCAAGAAACGCGAACAAGAAGCCTTCGAAGCCCGGTACCACATGGTCGCCCTCGAAGAACGGCTCGGCGAAGCCCTCGAGCGCATCAAGGTGCTCGAGCAGGAGCGCGACGCGCTCAAGACCCTCGCCCAGGAAGAAGAAGTCGCCCGCATCGCCGCCGAGGGCCGCATCCCGCTCCCCCCAACCCAGAACCAGGACGACGAGTTTGCGTCCCCTCGTAAGAAGAGGCAGCGCGTCTCGCTCTCGTCTGCCGAAGTGCTGTCCTCGGCCGCCGGCGAGGAGGAGATGGAGGAGCTCAGGCGCCAGATGCACTGGGAGCGCCGGCGGGCGGAACGGGCCCATGCGTTTATTGATTTCCTGCAGGCGGAGTGCCACTTGCGTACCTGCCCGGCTGCTAAGCATGCGAGACAAAAGCGCCAGTCTCTTCGGTCGCCGCATCGCGTTCTGGTCTCGCCTCGGGAGATTGTGAACCAGAATTACGAGATGGCTCTTGATCTGGCGCCGGCATACACGATATCTCCACGGTTTGCATCGAATCATCCTCACGATGCCGAGGAGGCAGAACAGACCGAACAGACCGAACAAACCGGAAACACCGAACCAACCGAATCCGTCTGCAACAAGCCCACGCTACCGAGTCTGAAGAGGCCCAGGGAGGAACCCAGACGGAGCACCATCTTCTGCCCCGAAGAGGGCATTTTCCGCACCGTCTCGCAGGAGGAGGCGGAGGCCATGCAATCGGCCACCCAGAAGAGCAGCGGGGACGACGACCAGAGCGAGGGCCCTCCGACACCGGCAGACCCCGAACAAGAGAGGATGTACGCTCGCACCCCGTCCGTCGAACCCCCTTCATTCGCCCTGCTCGCCCAGGAGCGCATCTCCCTCGCCTCCCTCCTCAACGCACCACACGGCATCACCGCCCGCTCTTCTCCCGTCCCAGAGAGGACGACACCGCCGTCTCCCCAAGGCGACCCGGCGCCGGCGGCACCAGTGTACGGGACCGAGACGACCACCACGACGGTGCCCCTCCGCGACGATAGCGTCGTCGGGCCCGCGGCGCGGTTCCAGCGCTCCCGCACCCCGTCGAGCGACTGCCACGAGTCCTTTGACGTCAACAACCCGGCCATGACGCCTACGATTTCGCGCGAGGAGGCCCTGGCCCGGATCCGCGAGAGGAGGGGTCGTGCGCGCAGCGCGGCGCAGGGGGGCGTGACGCCGCGACGGCTGGGGACGCAGAGCGCGGCGGGGGAGAGGCGTGATTTGAGCGCGCCTACCGGGGCTGCTTCGTCTGCTTCTGTGCCGAGGGCGATCAGCCGAGCGGCTGGGCGCGTGAGGAACGTGCGATAGAGCTGGGAGACAAGACGGTTCCCACAAGCGACGTCGCGTGGCGTTGACCATGGACGAAAGGGGGGGGGCGCTCTCTGGTAATGCGCAACTGGCTCTGGGACACCCGGTATATACTTCTTGCGTGTATATGGCTCAGAGCGTAATGGGCTCTCTTGACATTGGCATGGCGTTACTACAGTGGGAAACGGGGGGTCGGCGGCCAACTGGACATTCGTAGCATAGCGTTGACGTGCTTCGGATTCCCCGGGCTACCACTCATTTCCACGGAAAAGGGCGTTTGTTATTTTATTTCTAGTAATGATTCTCCGAGTTACGTCGCTATAGAGATAGGTCTACTCTACGAGGTTGGCATCGGGCTTAGTCTGCAGTATATAATCGACATTTCCCATCAGCAAGACGACTTGCCCGTGTCTCTTGGAATGGTAAAGCATACTCTTCATTTCCCTTTGGAGTGGTCACCCTTGAGATCAGAGCGACATCAGGGCCAACATGCATCATATCCTTGAAGAGACGTGGTATGAGAAGCTCATTCCGTTCTGGCCCTCTCGACAGAGTTTCCCTCCGACTCAGTCTTGTTGTCCTGCCGGTTACCAATACGGCCTCATGTCCGGTCATGTTATATGACGTCCGTCTCCTTATATCATGTCTTCTCTTCACTTTGACAGGGCCATACTCCTGCTGCTGCATACTAAGCGGATCATAATGTTTTTTCTTCTTTTTGTTCTGTGAGAACAGGACCTGTTGCTCTCGCATACACACCGCACAATATCTTCGCTTCTTCACCCCTTATTGGTCTCTGCCGATTTCCGTACGTAGGCTCAATCATCGTTACCAACGCCGCCGGTACAGACGAACATTGCTCACAATGTGTCCATCACCAAGTCAAGGTTCTCCAGAGTCGTCCTTTCATCGACTACTCAAGCCCCATCATCAAGCTTCAAGATAGCAGTGGTTATGGCTCAGAGCTGGCCTCTCTGTCTCTGTTCACTTGAACAGTATAAAAGAGAGCTGTTCTCCGACTCTGCTGGTCAGCCCACGGCGCTATTTGGAGCACCATGAAGCTAGAAGGCTCTGCAGAAGGGCCAAGGTCGTTGATCGAAACTCAACAATTATGCTTGCCTTGCTTTGTTGCAGAGAGACAATCCAAGGTTCTGGCTCAGGCCACGAATGCCACTCTGCTGATAGGCTCTGGTCCATGAGAATTGCAGAATCCCATCGGTATTCCGGATTGGTGGACTGGCAAACCCCCTCCGGAGGCGAAGCCCGTGCAAACGTCGCTGCCAAGACCGTTCAAAAGTCCAGAAGCAACTGCGCCGCAATCTTCTCCAAGTCGTCAACCTGTTCGCAGAACGTCCCATTAGTAAAGACATCTTCTTCACCCATCCCCATCCCCATCCCCGTCGGGCACTCGAGCAACCGGGCGTCGACACCGAGGGTATTTCATTCTTCTTACCTCCAGAAAAGCCCCCTCCCGCTCGTGAATACACCGCGCAATAGCCTCCCTCACAAACACATCCACATACTTCGCCGCCGCCTGGCTCGCGTCCGCCGTCATCCGCGTGCCCTCCCGCCGGAACATCTCCTGCAGCAATCTTGTCACCAACGCCGGCGGCACCACCTTCTCCGGCGGCTCTTCGTCTTCATCGTTCCCCCCCGCGCCGCGACCGCTCATCGCCGTATCGTCTACGTCGTAGCTGTCGCTGTCCAGGACCTCTACGGCGTCGTCGCTGTCCGGGTCGGCGTCGGCGATTCTGCTTCGATCTGCTTCCTCGTCAGATGACAGGAAGGGATCTGCGGGCCGGGATGGTTGGGCTCCTCGACGGGACGTTGCCGCGGATGATGCGCCTCCGGTGGCGGACTTGGGAGGGTGACCGCGCTTTGCTGTGTCGGTTGTGGCAGGAGGTCGCGGCATGGTAGGAGTGAAAGCACTGAAAGGGCTGGTGCCCTGGGGCGGGTAAGGAGAAGAAAATGCCGTATGGATGATTTGCAGTGCACTTCTACGGCTTGGGAAGTAGAGGAACACGAGGATGAATTCCCAGAAGTTGCTAAAGGCTGAAAGGAAGGATGTCGTATCGCTACAATCAGTTCCTGTAACCGTACTTTGACGCGTTTCCCATGCGGTGGGGCAGGGAATCGCCATGCCAATTGCAGCGAGCGCGAAGTCACATGACTCAATGAACAGCTTTAATTAAACCAGATCAATTTTCCGCATTTTTCTGCATCGTCATCAACCGATACTGCAAGTCTTCGCAAACCCGAGGGGCGATACTGCAAGTCTTCGCAAACCCGAGGGGCGATACTGCAAGTCTTCGCAAACCCGAGGGGAATATCTTATGCTAATAGGTCCAAGACAAGTCCTGCAAGCACATCAACTTGAAAATGAAACATCACAAGATCATCACGAGAAAGGCAAGAGGAAAAGTAAGATCTGGTCATGAATTACAAATCAGGAAATCGCGTTCGGATGTATAATTACAGCGGATCGGGCGCAAGCAAAGCAGGGTCGGGAATGAAAACGCCTTGCCAGATGCCAGTCTAACCGCAAAGTGAACCGTGTCGTCAGGGTTGGGGTAGCTTCTCCTGCCAACTTCCCAATTCTCCAAACACAACACGCGCCACCAGTTTTTGTTTGTTCCCACACGTCTATCCTCCCCGCCCAATAAAAGGCAACATGTCCCTGCAGGATCTAGCACTGGCTCACGCAAGCAGCGCCAGAGTTGGGGACGGTTGATCGAGTTTACCACCCAGAGAGAGGCTTAGGTTAGGGTTCGCCGTTTAAGCGCCCTTGAAGGCCTTGCCGAAGAGGAGGACCTGGAGCTGGTCGTAGATGGACAGAACACCAGCACCGGCGACACCACGGAGGATGTTGGCACCGGCACCCTTGAAGAGGGACTTGACGCCCTCCTTGGCGACGATCTGACGACCGGCATCGAAGGCACCCTTGTAGTGGACGGCGGTACCCGAGGTCATCATCATGCGACGACGGATGGTGTCAAGAGGGTAAGAGGCGATGCCGGCACCAGTGGTGACGCACCAACCGAGAGCGAAGGAGGCGAGGAAGTTGCCCTCAAGGGGACCGACGAGGACGACGGGCTTGATGGAGTCGTACATGCCGAAGTAGAGACCACGGTAGACGATGATACCGGCGACGGAGGGCATGAAACCACGGTAGAGACCGGCAATACCGTCGGAGGCGAGGGTCTTGCGGTAGACATCGACGAGACCGTTGAACTGACGGTCACCACCGGACTTGGCGTTCTTGGCATCGTTGGCCAGACGGGTACGGGCGTAGTCGAGGGAGTAGACGAAGAGGAGCGAAGTGGCACCAGCAGCCTGCACGTAGGGTTCGGGTTAGTCAACCGGCTGCGATTTTGACTTTTTCCTTTTCGTCTTTCCATTGTTGGGAAAAGGAGGGGAGCAGAGTGAACAAGGAGGGGAGGAGAGTGAACATACACCACCGGAGGCAAGGTTACCGGCCATCCACAGACCATAGCCATCCTTCTCCTTCTTGTAGCCGAACATCTTCTTGAACTTGTCACGGAAGGCGAAGTTCAGGGCCTGGGTGGGGAAGTAACGGATGACGTTGGCAGTGTTGCCACGCCACAGGGACATGACACCCTCATCGGCGGCAGTGCGGCGGAAGCAGTCGGCGATGCCGGCGTACTTGCGGTCGAGACGACCGGTCTTAAGCATCTCATCCTGGTTCTGGATGAGGAGCTTGATACGCTCGATGGGGGCGGCAGCAGTCTTGGAGACAGCGGCGGAGACACCACCCATGAGGAAGTCGGCAACGAAGGGCTAAAAAAAAAACAGTCATTAGTGTCGTGTTTCCCGGGACGAGTTATCCTTCTTTCGTCCAATTCCATCCCAATCTGCTTGCGGGCCTTTCAATTGAACTCGGATGAGATGGGGCGAGAAGAGATGAATTGAATGCGAGCCCGAGCAGTGATTGCCCCAGGCAGTCGCACGCAACCGTCTGCCACCCCACACATGGCATCCAGCTGTACTGCACCAAACTTTACTCCCTCTAGTCAACCACGGCATTGATGATGCCATTGATCCGGACGAAGAGCAGAAGAAAAGCGATGCGCGACAGCTGAAATGAGAGTAATTGATGCATGATGGGATATTTCCCCGACGATGCTCACCACGCGCAGCCTTGCGGATGCGAGTGCGCGGGCATTTGTCCGGCTAGATCGGGCGAAAGGAGCGAACAGAAAAGGGAGAGCGTGGGAAAATACATACCGGCATGCCCATGACCTTCTGCTGTTCGGCCATTGTGACGGGAGGTTTGGGGTATCAAGAAGAAGAACAGGTGAAGCAGACAAGACAAAAAAGGGATGAGAGGAGAGTGTCTCGATGGTATTTCGAGGAGTGGATGAGAGAGGGAAAAAAAAAAAGAAGGGAGAAGTTTCAACGAGTTGAAGGATGAGATTGGGAAGGGGTAAATTTTTTCTCTGGCAGCACGCGGCTTTTTGAGCGATTCTTCCCGGCTACTGGGTACGTACCTGGGGCTCCATGTCCACTTTATCCCATAGTGAGGACCACCAACCCCCATTTTTGCCCCTGCCCCGGCAACCCCGTTCGCCTCAGGCCGCCATTTTCATTGGCGCTCATTCGCGGCAGCAAGGGAAATCCGACCCGGTTCAGCCCGACCGAGACTGGCCTCCTTTTGTGCCATGGCCTTCGTTCCCAAGGACCATGTCGAAATCTCTATCCGTAAGGTAATCACTAAGGTAGCTCCTTACCTTATCATTAGGCACATGAGGTCACAGCTTGCCAATTGGGCTGGCGGCATCGGTTTCCAATACGATGTATTTTACTCGGGTACAATGATTACCATCCATGGTTTTTCTTGTCGAGTCCGATCTATTTCAACGTTCTGTTCTTCATGGTGTTCTTGATGGTTCTGTTTTCCTTCTTCTTCTTCATGTTCTTTTTGTCCCGCTCCCTGCCCGGTGATGAAAGATCCATCCCTACTGTGGTCCGTGGGGAGCCGCTCATTGAGACTGGACCTAACAAGGTACGCAAAACCTTTTTATCTCATCTCCGTTTCGTAGAAGTATCTTGCACAGGGACTCGGCCCTGTGATCGACATCATGGCCTGAACCTCGAACCTCGTATCAAATCGTGATCAAGACTACTGCGACGCATCAGAGGTCGAGACCAAGGCTACGGAAGACGTAGCCAACTTGTGGCTTTTTTGGTCTCTCGAGCTGCCATTTCCGTACTCCCGCCTGTGGGTATTGGCGAAATGCCCTGTCTGAATCACTCGCTATGTCTTGACCGGTTCGGTGATACCCCGATTGAGATTGCAACAGCCGAGCGCTCCCAAGCGACAATTTTTTCTTCTGCCGAGTCAAGAGGCTTCACAGCGGGTCCAGAAAAGCATCGATGGATCCATATTAATCCGCCCGACTCAAGCTCTGGCGCTGTGCTTGAATGCAAACATGACATCCATCGGCACGGCCAATAAAAAGTCCAGCGGGTCTTGTTCGGGTTTCGGGCGAAAGGTTTTCAGGACATGGACATTGGAGACCGTGAAACTTGGAAACGTCGGCTTTGGGGTAACTATAAGCCGGGCATTTGCTGTCCTTGGATACTGTCGTGAGAAAGGCATCATAACATCACGGGAAAAAGACATTGAGGCTTTTGCAGACCGGGTTCTACTTGCTGGCTTTCAACCACCGATTCGTTTCGTTTTCTTGTTCATAGGGCAGTCGTGTGGAGTCCATCCTCCGTTTTCACCTCGCATGATTCGTGTGACGAAGCAATTGACGAAGCGTTCGAATCTCTTGCGCTTGCAATACAGGTTAATATTTGGTGATTGCCGCCTGTAGCCGCCCGAGGAGTCCGGGGCGTTGCAGCATGCGAGAAGATCGAAAGCTCGGTTCCCCAACTCTCAATTCGCTCGACAGTGGTAGGTTACGAAATTCAGCTACAGTCCAAAGCACACTCCGTACAAGTCCAACAGCGCGGAGATATTGGTCCTGTCGCAAGTTGCAAACAACAAACGCTCTGGCGTGAGGAACGAGAACATGAGTCGGGGAAAAAGAGACCAAGCTTATGAATCCAAGTAAATGGACGCGGATAGCAATCAGCCTGAAGCCAGGTCTGGCTTGATTCTGTCTATCTGCAGCAGACGACGAAAGTGGTCTGTGAAGTGTCTTGTGTCGAGCAACGCCCCGCTTGAGAGACGACCCATCGCCCAAATTCCACCTCAGCGGGATGCGATAGAAAGAGCGTCACTAGGAACGGCGAAGGAGACGGGGGCATATGGGTTAACCGAATTCCGATTTCCTGTGCTACACCGAGCAGAAAGCCCTCTATTACGGGGCAGTGATGATATCAACCCATTGCAACCCAGGCCAGCCTTTTATGCCCCCTTTTAACGACGCGAAAGCAGAGTTATTCATGACCATCGCAGAGAGTATGGTATTCGTTTAATCATCGGTACCGCCAACAGCCCGAGCTATCATCCCAGTCAGTCTTCATCCTTGTCCCACAACTCCCTCCAACGAGGTGCAACAAATCGCCCAAGACGGCACACCGGCAGCAGGCGAGGAACGTACTGTAGATCTTCAGCTTGCTGTGCTGTACCACGGGCTTGATGAGGCCCTTCTCCTCGAGATCCTTGAGGCAGCTCCGCGCGAGCGAACCGTTGATCTTCATGCGGTCGACGAGGGTGGCGACGGTGACGAGGCGGTACGACTGGACATCCTTGTGGAGCTTCTCGGAGGTGGTCTTGTCGAGGATGACGGCGTGCTGGGCCTTGTCCTTGACCTTGCCCTTGGACCTAATTCTGGAGTGAGTCTTTCGATCGCGAGACGGCCGTCGTGGAGTGGGGGGGTTTCAAGTCTGCAGAATTACATACCACTATGACGATAAGTTAGCACTCAATCATTCATGAAGAGACCATGCATGAAGCCGGGGGGGGGGCACATTGACGAACCTTCTTCTTCTGCTTCTTAGCTCCGGCAGCGGGCGCCATTTTTGCTGATGTCTGGTGTCGTCGGGGGGTGTATTGACTTGGTCGGACACTGGAAAGAGAGGGTCGACAAAAAAGTGTCGTAGGAGTCGCTTCACTGTGGTGAGGTCGATTTGATGGGTTGGGGTCGGGGGAGGGGAGGGCTGGCTGGGCTGTCCGTACCACAGGGCAGGTAACCCTAACCGAAATGGTGGGGGGGCGGACGATTTTCCCACGTGATTGGTTAGCCCTCCACTGCACCAAAAGAGCAAATGGAAAAAAATTGCTCCTATGGTAGGCGAGGGAAGAATCCGCTTTTTGCTCTACCGGATTGGACCTTGGACTCTGACCCGCAAACCTCACCACACGAAATCACCGGCCAAATTTCTCTACCTTAATTCTCTTTCCCCCCCCTTCCCCTTCGACGAGCACGACGAACGACAACGCAGTTTCACCCAGCTTCCGAACTGCATAATAACCGGCACCATGTCTGACGGCGGCGAGATCGAGGTCGAGAGCGTCCAGTACGACGTCCTCCCCAAGGACGTTGTCAAGGAGGTCGGCAACATCAAGCTCTTCAACAAGTGGGACTACGATGTCGAGGTCCGCGATATCTCTCTAACGTGAGCTTTTTCTTCTCCCCTGCTACGCGCTGGAAGGAACGAAGAATCTGGGCGAGGGTTTCCTCGATCAATTGGGGGGAGTCGGGATATATCGCTTCAACGGGAATTGAGGGCTGACCGCTGGGACCTCGTTGATGCACAGTGACTACATCTCCCTCCGGAACCCCGTCTACATCACCCACTCGGCCGGTCGCTATGCCACCAAGCGCTTCCGCAAGGCCAACTGCCCCATCATTGAGCGCCTGACCAACTCGCTCATGATGCACGGCCGCAACAACGGCAAGAAGCTCATGGCTGTCCGCATTGTCGCCCACGCCTTTGAGATTGTACGTCCTTCAGCGCTGCTTCCCTGGCAATTTCTTTTGTTCTTGGGCGAGGCAGAAACAGAACTGGGCGAGGGAAAAGCGGGAGAATCAAGTTCAGAGAGAGGGAGAGAGAGGAACGTTGGAACCTGGAAGGATGACGCAGCTCACACATGGTACAGATCCACCTCATGACCGACCAGAACCCCATCCAGGTCGCCGTCGACGCCATCGTCAACTGCGGTCCCCGTGAAGACTCCACCCGTATCGGTTCCGCCGGCACTGTCCGTCGCCAGGCCGTCGACGTCTCCCCCCTGCGCCGCGTCAATCAGGCCATCGCGCTCCTGACCACCGGCGCCCGCGAGGCCTCTTTCCGCAACATCAAGAGCATCGCCGAGTGCCTTGCCGAGGAGCTGATCAACGCCGCCAAGGGCAGCAGCAACTCGTACGCCATCAAGAAGAAGGACGAGCTGGAGCGTGTCGCCAAGTCCAACCGGTAAACGCGTTTCACTCGGGAAGGCTGGGGATCCGACGGGGAACGCGACACGCTTCGAACCAGAATGTCCCAAAATGGGAAAAAGGTGTATCGTCGTGTGCTTTTTTTTTCGTTGGTTCTGGGGGATGGCAGATACAGGGAGGGTCCAAGAAAAAAATCACCCAAGGGGTTCGGAGAGGTGGGATTGCGTATTGAGACAACTACGGAAAAGAGGCGTGGGATTTGTTTTTGACACAGGCATCCTTGCAAACGGCGGCGGCATAGGAACGGACGGCGCCCCCGCCTTTGCTGCGTTTGTGCGTTAAAGGTGACACTTTGGGAACGCGGCTACGGCATCTTGTCTCTTACGGCTCTAGGTGGTTTCTCCCAATATATGCCAGGCTCGGTTATGAGCACCATGACTGATTCCACTGTATGCTGTGATTCTGGGCCCTGGCGGGCTTCGAGTTTGGTCTTATTTTTTATTGTTGCTGGGTTCTTCGCGATGGAGCGTAGGGATCAGGTTCTTGGTCTAATGTTCAGTCGCATAAACATCATGAGAATGTGAGTTTACCACTTGATATCTGACGAAGCCATGATGATTCCCTACCTGAGAAGATGGTTAAGGTACACTGCCGTCATCTAAAAAAAAGGGGGGGTGAACGTGAGGTCTATAGTCTATCCTCCACCAGCAAGATCCGGCCCGTCTGTAGAACGCTCGGCCCAAGGGATGACAAGGGTGACTGTAGGGGTGCAGGAAAAGAAAAGCAAAGGAAAAAAAAAAACCCCCCTTTTCCCTACTCCCCTTTCTTGAGATTCAGCCGCATAAACATTCCGACGTGCCAGATACCTTCCTCCATCCAGCGACCCATGCCCTCGTCGACGCGGAAACCGCAACGTTCCCAGAGCGGGACCACGGCCTCCTGAGCGTGGACGCAGACCAGGCCGTCCCAGTAGGGCGCCGCGCCGTCACAGCGGCTGGAGACGCCGTAGCTCGCGAGCTCGGCGGCCCCGGCGTTAAAGTAGTCCGGGTGGGCGCGGAGCCACGAGAGGGCCTGGCGGACGAGCAGCTTGGAGAGGGCGTTGCCGCGGTAGTCGGGCAGGACGGCGAGGCGGCCCAGCTTGACGTAGACCTCGCGGCCGTCGTGGAGGTCGGTGGCGCGGTCGCGGCGCAGCATGAGGGGAATGCGGTCCGTGTAGAGGCTGTGGCCCTTGATGGTCGGGCCGGTCTTCTTTTCCTCGGGGATGATGGTTTCGCCGTCGTCGGCGACGCGGCCGGTCAGGACCCCGTTCCAGTAGACACCGTTGGGGGCGGGGTGGGGCTCGTGCGGGAACGGGACGACGCGGATGGTGCCGACGGGGACGGAGCGGGTGCTGCGGCGGCGGGGCTGGATGATGTTGCCCTGGTCGTCGAGGCGCTCTTCTTGGACGACCTCGCTGACGGAGGCGTGTACGACCCAGTGGCAGGAGCGGGGGTCGTCCTGGTCGAATTCGTTCTCGGGGGGCACTTTCTGCTCGTCGACGAAGACGGCGTTGCGGACTTGCATGGCGTCGATGAAGCATTTGGGGACGTTGTGCGGCTGGCGGTCTGCAGGCTGGCCCGGAACGTAATCCAGCCGGGCGGGCTCTTGCATGGTTATGAAGGGAGTGCCCATCTTGAAGTGTTATCGGATAGTCAGAAGTGTTTTCTTTTTTTTTTTTCGTTTTGGTTGGCAAAGGAACAGTAAAGAAGTAGATATTCCCAGGAGAGGGTTGAGGTGGTTGTCGGGGTCAAAGGGGGAGAAGATGGGTTTCCTCTGCTCGATCTGGGGAGGGCAAAAAGAAGAAGGAGAACAGGAAGAACCCCCTCTGAATAAGAAGAAAGGCGTGCTTCTGCTTCAGAGGTTGAATTCCTAGTTTGTGGTTGTTTTGTGGTGCGAAGTGGGAGTAAATGGCTGAAGCCCTGGAGATATTTAGGCAAACACGAAATGTGTGGAATATGGCGCCTTTCACACAACGACTCGTCTTCACGTTCACCTGACCAAGGACCTATTAAATATGGCAGCCGCAAGTCCTTTATAAAGCGGAAGGCACAGTTTGTTATTCATCGGAACAATTAACGGATTCATGGGCTTAGTCGTAGCCAGCCGGGGAGTCGCTAGTACAGGCACCGTAGACCGTGTTGTTAGGGGGCGAGTCGGTCATCTTTCGAATGGTGGCCCTGGCCTTCTCTTCTGTCTTTAGGCAGATATTTTAAACGGTGTCTTGATGATTTCCTATTGATTTACTCACACGACGACCATGGTCATAAAGCCTAGAGTCACAAGGAACTAATTGAGTAAGACAATAATACTAACTTGAGCTGGGATGAACGACGTGAATACCTTTATGAGTTCCTGACTGCCGGTACTCTGTACAAGAAGGGAATGAAGGTATAAAAAGCTCTGTACCTACGAATACTTGGTATTTATTGTGTTGATGCTGACAAAGAGCAACTTTAAAGCCAGCCGTACCTGAACCATTATTGAATAGCGGCTCGTGACTTTTCCGACAGTCAGTGTGAGGGGATCCATCGAATGCCAATGGTCACGTCTATTGCTGTTGGGCAGTACACGTACTTATGAAACTCACTCCCCTCTGTACCTTACGTATGACATATAGGAGCATATGGGTGTCACGCTGACATCACATCAGTTATGTACCGTCATACATCATTAGGGGAGCCTTTTCTCCCTGGATGGTCCAAGGGAACTTGAAGAGCAGCCAGTCGAGTAAACCATCATGAGGTGTCCCCAACTGTCAGACATCTTTCGTCTCAGATGGCATGACATGAAGTTGCTCTATCCCTAAACATCAAAACAAACCCAAGATGAAACACCTTACCCTCGATCCATCGAAGCGGATTCCCCTGCTCCGGGAGGACGCGAAAGGCGGACTAGTTCAGGAACGCAAGCCGCCGGAACCCAAGAGCATCAAGGGACGGTACGGACCGGCAAGCGGCAGTGGAGCCGAGGACGCGAGCGTCTTCTTCATCGGCACGGCGACGACGATCCTCGAATGGCAGGGGATTCGCATCTTGACGGATCCCAACTTCCTCCACGCGGGCGACCATGTCCATCTCGGCCCCGGGGTCACGGCCGAGAGACTGACTAACCCGGCAGTTGACTTGCATGACCTCCCCCCACTCGACGTCATCCTGCTGTCCCACTACCACGCCGACCACTTCGACCAGCTGGTGGAGAAGTCGCTGCACCGGGACTTTCCCATCATCACCACGCCTCACGCCAAGGGGTGTCTGACCTCGTCGGAGTATAAGACGGAGGACGACGGGGGCCCGTTCCGGGCAATCCACGCGCTGGATGCCTTTGCTAGCATGATGCTCGATATTCCCGACGGGCAAGGACCTAATGAGGGAGAGGAAACATCGGAAGGGAACGAGAACCGGGGTGAGAAAGGAGAAAAGAAGAAGCGGAAAACGCGCATCAAAATCACGGGGATGCCCGGAAAACACGTCCCGCCCGGACCGCTCTCGATTGTCAACGACCTCCTAGGCGCGGTTCCGCCCACCAACGGATGGATGTTGGAGCTCGGCTACGGCCCCGGGGAGAAAGGCGGGGAGGAGGAGGGGGAGGAGGAGGAGGGGGAAGAGCAAGAGAGCGAGGACGACACGGCGAAGACGGGCTACCGGATCTACATCTCGGGCGACACGCTTTTCGTGGACGAGCTGAAGAAGATCCCCGAGTGGCTAAAGCAGCAGCGCGTCGACCTGATGCTCCTGCACCTGGGCGGCACCACCATCCCGAGCCCCAAGATGCCGCTGCTGATGGTGACGATGGATGCCGAGCAAGGCCTGCGACTGATGCGGCTCGTGGACCCGGATGTCACCATCCCGATCCACTACGACGACTACGACATGTTCCTCACGCCGTTGGACGATTTCAAGAAGGTCATCGAGGAGGGGAAGCTGGAGGACAAAGTCGTGTATCTGGATCGGGGGGAGCAGTTTCGGTTCAAGGTGCGGGGTGGCCTCTCAGCATCGCCCAGTAGTGTCCTGTAACAATTAATAATCCCGCGTGGATGAATTGCCTTGCTATGCTGTGGAATGTGAGCGAGTTAATGGATTTGCAAACGAGACAAAAAAAAAGACACAATACCTTTGAGATCTCTCACGAGACTGTCGCATCCGCTGTATCGACCGTGCCAGCACTTCTCGATAATGCGTCCCAAGTCGCCCAGATGTGTGATGTCGGGAAACGTCTTGCTGGCGAACAAGAGCCGGATGTCCCCTCCATCGCGTCCTTGATACGGTTCCTGCCCCGTCATAATCTCGTAGACGAGGGATCCGAACGCGAAGATATCCCCCTTGACCGATGTGTTCGACTCGGGACATTGATAGCTGGCTGGGCTTGCAACGAGGAGAGGCGATCCGTCGAGCGATGATCCCGCAAAGTCGGCTACTTTGGCATTCCACCCGGCGTCCAGCAGGACGTTCGCGCTGGTGAGATCCCCGTGGATGATGCCGGCATCATGGAGGAAGCGCAAGGCCTCGGCGACCTGTATAATCCAGCGGAGCCGCGTAGTATCGGGGCCGCCTCCTCTTTCTCTCTCGTCGCTGCATGACTTGAGCTGGAGATGGGGAGCGAATTCAAGGCGGATTCCATTTTCCACGACGCCATGGTAGCGAAGGAGTCCATCGTGGCCTCCCCGTTCGGTGAGCCGTTCGTAGATGCGTCGTTCGAGCTCGACGTATTGAGAGGACTCTTCTTCATTGAAGGGTTTTTTGATCACTGTGTTCGACGATGCATCGAGGACAACAAGGCCGGTGCTGCCGTAGCTGACAAGGTCTTTATACCCGAATCCGGTTCGACGTCATTTCGAGATGGACGGTGGTTCATGCATGCTCTGTAACGGGAGATGGCGCAATTGTCTTCAGCGGAGATGGGGTTGCAGAGGACGCTATTAGACGGGATTTATATTCACTATGTATTATTCGGTGCTAACTGAGGGCCCGTGGTGTCAGTAATGAGGATCAGAGATGAACTCTGCTGAGGGAGACATACATACCTAGGTACCTACCTTAGGTAAGGTAGACGGGGTACAACATAAGGTACCTTACCTTACCTTAGCCAGTGTTGTCGATCGTGAAGCACGCTAGCAGGCACGTACCTTATGCAACGCGGGCCGGACGTGCAGGCGCATCCAGACTCAGGTTGGCATATTCGTAGAGGAGAACGATACGGAGAAGTCGCGTCGCAAGTGTAAGAATATGGCTGACTTGTCGAAAACGCGACAGCCCCTTTTTAACCATAAGGTAGGTAGCCTTCATTCGTGAGACACGACCAATACACGTGATATCCTGTGGCACATAAGACGCGACAAGTCGAGTTATTAATAGACATTACATAACACGAAACAATTCACTTAATTTCCATTAGTATTTAATATTGAATTACTTGGTCAAGTTGTCACACAATAAACTGCAGATAAATAAGACGAGAAAAAATTAGCCATAATTAAAATCATAGCTAAATAGTGTTGTATAAGGTACATTAGTATCATGTATCACGGCGTTATACGGTCTCTGCAATAAGGGACATCTACCACTGTCTTGAGACAGGTAGCATGGGCTGAACCACCCAGCATCAGACACTCTGGACGGACCACTTTTCGCGGCATAGCGTACAGACACGAGAAGACAATAACTGAACAAACTTGAACGAAACAAATTCCCACATCATATTCTTTTATGACAAGTAACCAGTAACCACGACCCCTCCTTTTCTTCTATCATTATCTTTTCAGCCGCTGGTTGCCCCTTACTCCGCCTTGGGAAGCTCAACACTGCGCTCCTCGCCATCCACGCTACCCGAGTTGACCTTCTTCCCCGTCTTCGCAATCGTCTGCAGGACCTTTTCGTACCCGAGCTCGGGGCCAGCGACGACGGTAGCGGTCTGGCTTTCGAGGGAGACTTCGTAGCTTTGGACGCCTGTGTTTCGCATTGCAAAAATAATTAATGTTGGTTGCGCCACACGATGCGCCTCGTACTGTAGAACAAGGAACAAGTACAATAAAAGAAAAAGAAAGGAAAGGGGTGAGAAAATAGGAAAACCGTTACCTTCTAGCTTCTTGAGCACGCGGTCAACGGCGCCGGAGCAGCCGCCGCAGCTCATGCTGACGTTGAACTTGTAGGTATGCTCGGCCGACATCGTTACGGAGGGATATGCGCGGTGCGGGGTACTTTGGCGGGGTTGTTGTCGCGGAGATTGGTACTGGGGATGGAAGGGCGCAAGGCGGAACGATGCTTCAGGAGACGAGAGAGATGTGTCAATAGAAAGAAAATGTAATGAAATTAAGATCGAGGGAAAACTGGATAGAGGGACGTTTGAGGTGTTTTTGCGCTCCTGGTGGTCTCTATTATAGTATATTATAGTAATTTACCTGGTACGGAGTAGTACGGAATTCGTGTGTCGCTGCCAGAGGCCGGTTTCTGATTTGTCAGAACAATCGGGTCAAGGTACCGCGGAATTATCCGTGTCTTATTCTTCTAGACTTAAGGGTATAAGTCAAGGGCGCTATTTATACTACGCTATAGGTACGGTGAGGCCCGCGCTAAGTACCCGAGGTCGCCGACTATATCCTGGGGTTATACCTAACAACCTCCTTAATATAACCCTTTGTTAGGTAGAAGTCTAGCAAGCTATAGCGTGTAATATAATTCCTTAAATTCTCCATTATATACAGAGCTATAGCCCGTATACTATCGCATAGACATAGAACCACGACGTAGTTCCTAGGGGATCTATGCCTAACTAAGGGCTTCGGACCCCGGAAATCAGGATATACTATGAGTAGATACCGGGAAAGACTAGATAGGGTGCAAGTAATATAGTACCTATAGACAGAGTCTGCACTACCTAAATTAAGAGATAAGAGACTTTTATAGACATAGCTTATTATAATATATATATACGAGATTTCTGCTTTACTAGAATTATTACTTTAATTATTATATAGGTGCTATTTAATATACGATAGTTATAAGCCCGGATTATAACGTCTAAACGATAGATATTAATAGGGCTACCCTATTCTACTATAAAAGAGTAATCACGTTTTTTTAAGCACTCTTTAAATAATCACTCTTAAATAACTACTATTAACCTAATTAAAGTAATTAAGCTATTAATTAATCTACCTACCTATCTATTAATTAACCGATTAACCGACCTATAAGTAAGTAAGATATCTTCTAACGTAGCTAATATCGAATAGAAAGCAGCCGCTACTATTCTTATTAACTAAAGAGATTAGTATTATAGGAGCGCGCTATACACGGTAAATCTACTACCTACTAGGATAACTATCTTAATCTAAAGCTAAATAATAAGAAAGTAGATACTTACCTACTATTTAAGCCTATACCAGCTAATATACCTAAATATAAAGCTAATAAAGAACTAAGTAGTATTATAGATTAGTATTATAGAGGATCGGAGATACGATCGGACCGCCGAGTACTCGGCGAGACTAGATTACTATATTAGTATAGAGGAGAAAAAGGAGAACTTTCCTCCTTAAGTTAAAGTCTTTATAAAATACGACTATTAAGTTATAATAGTATAATCCGTTACGGTGTATCTTTTCTCTAGTATTATAGCCTATTCCTTAATAAATTCTTTGACTTCTATACCTATAAGGTTACCAGGCCGAAAGTACTACTAAAACGGACTTTACGAAGCACTACTAATACCAAGCGGGCGGATACGGGCGTATAATAAGAAAAGTCTATTTAAGGCACCGAAGAAGAGTATTAGGACTAATAGGATAATAATAATAATGATATAGCCTTATTATTATCCTTTAGTTCGTTATAAACGTATATATTATCCGTGGATAGTCGTCCACGGTATATATTAGACTAAAAACGTACCGCTACACTAAAAGAGAATTCTCCACTTATATAGGTACTTCTGGTCTCTTATATAGTATAAAAGTATTACCGTAAAAACCCACTAATTTCGGGATAGGCACTAATCTGCTTACGTTAAAATACCCACTACTCCGCATAGCCTAAATGCACCGGAAATTATATATCTCGATAACCCTTAATTCACAACACTACTAGATCCGTATTAATAATTCACTACCCCATAAAATTATCTTATTTCATTGGTTAATTTGAAATAAGGTTACGTTAGTAGGGTGCCCAGTCCTTAGTGCCAATCCCGAAATTAGTGGGTTTTTACGGTACCTCGATAAGGTGGCTAAGGGAATCTACGGCAAATTATAGGGGGCACTATAATAACTTCTAAAAATAGTAATAAAAGGCTTCTAGGTCCACCCTAATAGTAGGAATAGCTATACCTAGTAATAGTATATATAATAATAATTATATAGGTACGTAAATATTCCCTTAATAGTAGTTAAGTAAATAGGGCGTATAAAATTATTCTACCGTATAGCTCTATACAATCTTACGTAATATTATAAATCTATTCGCACTTAGAAACGTATTTATACATACTTATATAACTATAGCCAGCTCTACGTAATAAGTAATAATAGCGGCTAGTAATAACTCTATTTACCTTATTTTAAAAATCAATTATATAGTGGTGTTCACGAATAACTATAACTTAGCGGCTTACCCTACTTACGATAAGCCTTAACCTAGTTCTGTATAGTTAAAGCGCGAAACCTTACCTACTTAGTCGGATTCGTCTATAATTAACCTTACGGACGTAACGCCGCCGCGTAAACGAAAGGAAAAAGATATCCTGCTACTAACCGCACTTTAAATTCCGGGTACGGAAGCCCGCGCTCTGGTTTACGCACTCCGGCACGGCGAAACGGTCGGTCGTATTGCTGTGCGGGGCTCTTCAGTGGATGGGAAGCCAGAGAACAGAACTGATAACGCTTGATAGATAGCTAGGCTAGAACAACAATCGACGTGTTTTATCTATTATGTACTTTGTGCGCTCGAGCTCCTAGGATTATCCTACCCCGTCTAAATAGTACCGTGTATTATACCTATAGTGCGGTAGTATCGCCATTAATGCCTATAGCCTATATACATACGCTAGCTGCTATTTGTCTGCCTTTTAAAGGCTCGCTCGACGTGGGGCGGGGCACCTTGTATATTGCCGCGCGAGATGTCCGAGTACGGGCATTGGCTGTCTGCAGGGCATTAGCTATAGGCACCCAGAGGTTACTATTAGAACCGCGCGTCGCTTACCCCGCTGTAAATCCAGGGCACGGGGTGTTAGCTGTAATAGCTGGCTGCTATCGCACGTTAAATAGCGCTTAAAATAGTAAACCTAATAGAATAGAAATCTCGTATATATATAGAGACTACTTATTCCGACTAGGATTATTCCGGCTAGGGTCCTACTAATAGCACCTGATAGTAGCCGTTACGGGCGCCGTATATACGTATATATCCTATAGTTAATTAACGATACGGTCGCGCCCGTTTAAGTAATAATATTATCGGTCGGCTTATTTAATTAACGATACGGTCGCGCCCGTTTAATTAACGATATTATTAGTCGGCTTGTTTAATTAACGATCTCGTCAGTCGGCTCGTTTGATTAACTATATCGTCCTTATCACCTACGACGAAGATCTAGATTTAACCGAGTTACCTCCTACCGAAGTAAGCTATAATTAACACCGTCTTCGCCCTTTATATTATCTATAACGCCGACGCCGACTATATATTAAATAAACGAGCCGACTAATAATATCGTTAATTAAACGACCGATAATATCGTTAATTAAATAACGCTACGATATCGTTAATTAAATAACGCTACGATATCGTTAATTAAACATAGGTATATAGGTTATATAGAGGTATATAGGTATAAACGGAGCTAGTAGCAGCTGCTATTAGGTGCTATTAGTAATGCCCTATCTTACTATCAATATAATAGTCTTTGAAATAAGTATCGTTAAGCCGAAAGTGCCCCTAAGGTGCCGTATTATCGATAAAATCAATTCTGATATCGGATTCGGACTCTACGCCCTTAAAAGCACTGGAGACCGATATCGTAGCGAGACCGTAGAGGGCGCGGTGAGTTATATACTATAGGACGGCCTATAGGGCTAACCGAACGCGATACCGGTATACTACTATAAAGCGCCTAGAATACGACGACTAGAACTAACCCGGGGCGTATAGCCCCGGGAGAGCCCTAAAAATCCTAGGCACCGAGCGGGCGTACTAAAGGCGTACTATATAAACTATATACTTAATTTTCCGGACTACTAGCTAATAGGGTAAACGCCGATAAGGTGCTAAAGCTAGTATAGAAGATCCTTTAAATATAATACTATAAGACTATTATAGGGAAGCCGCTACGTTAATAACCCGGTAGCGATATACCCCCCCTTATAACTAAAGGGCTTACTAACATGATCTAATAAGCGATTAAGGGTATACTAACAGAATTACTTAGAGTAGTAGGACCTAAAACCTATGCTTAGGTAGTAGAGAGTACGCCCGCGTAGCGCTAATATATTAAGATAATACCGGTAAAAGTTATACTTACCCGATACGCCTAAGAACTAATAGTCCGATATAAAGACGCTAAGACTAACCTTAAAAGCCGAACCCTATAAGAGATTATTAAGGCGGTTAATTAAGTTACCCGCCGTGTAAATATAATAGCCGCGCGATAACTCCTAAACGGTAATATAATTCTTACGTTTAAGTATAGGAATAAATAGTAGATAGCGAACGCGAATAATTAGGTTAAAGGCGTATTCGGTATAGGAGCCACGATATATAAGAAAACGTATTAAGTTATAGTAAAAGGAATACTAATAGCGTAGCTACTAACTTATAACCCCGACACGGTGTTATAAGAACTTCGGCTATAGAATAACGTGGCGATTACCCGGATTAAGGCCAGGAAACCCAGGAATAATATAGCGCGGATAGCGCTACTAACTATTAAGGTCGCCCGCCCTAAGGACACGGAGTGACTAGTAAACAAGGGAGTCTTTTTTAATTACGGATACTATGATAGTAAACCCTATAACCCCGAGATCTCTCTATAACGGTGCTTTAAGTACCTTAACTTCGGATATAAAGTAGGTTAGTGCTAGGCGATAAAAGCGCTATACGGGTATTACGGCGGCGTAGAGTTAGCGTACTAAGGGGGCTTCGCAGTGTACGAAGCTAAGATAAACCCGAAGAAAAGGCGTTATACCGCCTATAAGGGGCCGTACGCGGTATTCGACGATAAATACCTAAGTAAAGTAAAAGAAAGGGCGGGGACTAAGGAGGTATATACTAATAGGGTAAAGGGATTCGACCTTAGCTAACTCGAGAAAT